CAAAGTATTTATTCACCCTAATATATGATTAAAGGAGGTAAAACAGTGATTTGCTTTAGATGTTGTTTGGAACATAATTGCTTAAGAAGATCAGTATTTGGATAGCAGTTTCTCAGCCATCTTGTGCAGCTTTCCACCTGAAAATCAATAATTAATTACTTTTTGATGATTATTTGCCTTTGTTTACTTTTGAAGACAGAAGAAAGTAAAGGGAACTGCTTTTGAAGGTCATCTTTAGCCGGATCGGGTAAAGCATTATACTTGCTGATAGCACTCTCAACCTTCTTCCTTAACTCGTCCTTGCTCGGCTTATTGCCAAGTACAATCTCAGAGTGAACTTTGCGAATCATAGTGAAAATCTAGAATAGCATAGATAATTTTATAATTTTTCTACTACATATTGAAAGAACCCACTAATCTAATAAAAGTTTTCGCTTCAGTTCCAAGTGCATCAACTTTTTCTTTCATCACAGCATACAGCTTTTCAGCTTTAGCGCCAAGTTCGGGTGACTTCTCTTTGAGTGCAGCCAAAGCCTTAAAGGAGGTTTGTTTTGCTCGAATGGCCAAGATTGAATTTGGCTTCCCAACCTCGTCTGCATTCATGTTAGCAGAGTCCCTGACTACATCCTTGATCACTTTCTTATCCTCTTCGGTCAGGCCCGTGAAGAACTCCTTAGCTTCTTTTGGAATAACGTCTAAAAGGAAGATCTCGAAGCGAACGAAGAATATGAAAAGAGCTAAAAGCCCTGTACCTTCATTTCCACCAAAATCGGCATGGACAATGCAAAGGAAGGCAACGATGGCGATAAGTTCGCGTAACATTACTAAAGATGTAATAATTATTATAGGATCGGACATTTAAAGGATCTATGCTTTGGAATAAACAGGACAGATGAGCAATATGTTAGCGTAAGGATGAGGAAAGGAAGCACAAAAAGGGCATGGTACGCTTCGTGAACAGATTTTCGCAGGGAATGTAATGTTTACGCGATTGAATCAAATTGTTTGGAGGTGCTGACAATATTATAAACAACAGGAACTAAACTAAAAGCTGTTTGGAACATTTAATGATATGTAAAAATTCTTGGTAACGTTACTAATAATCATTAATAGAAAAAAATTATGCGTGAATAAAATTTTGCACTTGCGACACACATTTTTTGAAAAAAAGGAGTTTTTCTCACCTTGGAGGGTCCGAACCAACCTGGAAGGTGACTTTTCATAGGAGCCTTATGACATACGCAATGGCATTGTTTACGTGTAGGTGCAGAGAACTGCACTTTTTGAGCTTCTAATGAATTATTTTACAAATAATTATCATTATATTTAATTTTTTGTAATTACAAACTCTATTCACATGTCATTCAGCCACTTTGTCAGGAGATAAATAATAAACTCACCTGCATTTCTATTAATCTTCCATTGCGTAAGATTTTATCAGTTGAGCTTTCACAGTCGATACTCTCAACTCAATGGTGTAAAACTTGAGCAGTTTTAGAATTGCGTAAGTCCAAATTATGAGCTGATCGGACATTTGTGCACATGGAGCACTGG